AGTAAGATCACTGTATAAAGTTAGTATGTAGGGATCGATGTTGTTAGTTCCTGTTGAGTAAATCTTGGTGACGATGTGACGTCGTGCCGATTAGATAAATCTTGGCGACAATGTGACTTCGTGCCTATTTGACATAAATTGTTGAAGGAAAACAATGTTGTCACCCCGGTGTTTGTTTTATTTGACATAAATTGCTGAGAAAGCAATGTTGTCACCCCTAATGAAAATCCTTAGGCTAGGTTCCTTGTGATAGTTGTTTTAGGGACGTAACGTGAGGATAACGGGAATGGGTAATTGGGGTAATTTGGTTGACTGATTGATGTTTAAACATAATAAATTTATGTATTGTGGGTTGAAAACCCTATATGCTCACCAGGCTTCCAAGCCTGACCCACTCAGCTTTTTATGATTACAGGTAGTGGACCCCGAGCATACTCGGATGATGATGATGAGTGATTTTGGATTATAGGCCATTAGTTATAAATAACTGTTGTAAGGCTTATAATGTCTTGTTTATGCTTTTGATCTGTATCGGAACATGACATCCCGAGGTTTTGTTATGAAATAAAAATATATATTTCTTAAAGCAAGGTTTTGATAAATTTTTATCATGTTTGACTTTGGGAACAAATTCCGCAACACTTTTAATGAAATACTCTGATTTTATTTTAAAAAGCATAAACGAAATCGGTCTTTTCTGGCCGTGAAATTGGGGAAATTGGGGATGTCACAGTTGGTATCAGAGCATTAGTTTAAGCGAACTAAGAAATTGTAGAATTTCTAGACTTAAACTTAGAATGCTAAGTGATGATTGTGAGATGAGTGTCTACCATATTTTAGACACGAGCACTAGTTTATTTTAGGGAAGATGCCTAAAATGCCCTTATGTGCTAAATGCTATGTGTTTGCCATGTGTGCCATTATTTGTACGGATCTATGGTCTGTTGCCGACCGGATCTGGAAACCTTATGTGTGTAGGATTCTAAACGTATGACTACGGTATTGGAACTAACATATAAACGTTTCGAAGAATTAACATCTAACAAAAATGAGGATCTAAATTCACCTAGGATTGGTGTATAGATCGAAATGCCGAGTACTCAAAGTGGGTTCGAAAGTGATAATCCACATCCTGAGCTAATCACGATGACTGGAGTGCAGGCAATGGTACGTACGATGTTAGGTGAACAGATGAAAGAAGTCCTAGTAGAGTCTAGGAAAATTTTATGATTAATTGGACACATTTTCATGTGTTAAATTGTTTTGTGATTTTAGGACTTGGGGACTGCGAGACAGTACTTGGGACGAGTATGAGTAGGTGTGAATAGTAGTAGAGATCTATACTACTGGAAGCACAGGACTCGCACTTGGATCAGGGAAAGTCACAAGGTTACCAAGAAGCTATTATTTGATTCCGTCTTGTTCTAGTCTGTCGTTACCATCGTTTCGGTAATGACTAAGAAGATCATTGTTATTCCGACCTTAGAGGTCATATCAAATTGAGTCCGACTACGATGAGTTTATTATGTGGTTCAGAGAACCAAGTTCGATGTAACATTTGACTTAAGCCAGAAGATTGAAATGAAAGATGATCAAAGCGATCAATAGAAGTATCGCACTCATTGTTAAAGAAGTTGGTAGTTAGAAATGATACATTTTGAACGGTGATTGTATCGCATTAGAACATGAAGGAAGGTATAATTTGTTCTGAAATTGTCCCTAGGAGATCTGAGTCTAAGTAGTGCAGTATACAATGAGAGATCATTAGAACATGACCCATCGGTCTGTTACAATAAATACTTATTCCAAGAAGAAGGAGGAGTCCTCAATAAGGATTTATTTTGTAACTCGAAGGGTACAATTGAAAGTCCTATGGAGATCTGAAGCTTTTTAGGATTAGCTGGATATTATCGCTGATTTATCCAAGGCTTTTCTTCGATCGCGACTCCATTGACAGCTTTGACCCACAAAGGAGCTGTCTATACTTGGAATGAGAAGCATTGGAAGCTTTGAGAAGTCAAAGAAGAAGTTGTGTGAAGCACCGATTCTTTCATTACCCAAAGGAGTTGATGACTTCACAGTTTATAGTGATGCCTCTGGAGTTGGGTTAGGATGTGTTCTGACCCAAATGGATAAGGCGATAGCATATTCATCGAGGCAATTGAAAGAGCATGAAAAGAACTAACCCACTCACGATTTGGAGTTGGCAGCGGTAGTATTCGCCCTAAAGATATGGAGGCATTATCTTTATGGCACAAAGTGTAAACTTTTCACTGATCATAAGAGTCTTCAATATCTCTTTAATAAGAAGGAATTGAACATGAGGCAACAATGCTGGCCAGAGTTACTCAAGGATTACGACTGCGAGATACTTTACCACCCTGGTAAAGCAAATGTGGTTGCTGATGCTCTCAGTCGGAAGGTAAACCTTGAAAAGTAAAGGCCAAGAGCGTTGAGAATTGAAGTTGTCTCGACAATTGTGGAAAGTATAAAGAAAGCTCAAGAGGAAGCTTTAGAGAAAAATGACCGAAAGGAAGCACGTTTGGGCAAAACGTTAGTATTCGGTACAAACAACCAAGAGTTGAAGGTATTCCAAGATAGGATTTGGGTACCTAAGACGGGCGGAGTAAGAGATCTTCTGATGGAAGAAGCTCACAAGACCATGTACTCGATTCATCCCAGCAGTAGAAAAATGTATAGGGATTTAAAACCCTATTATTGGTGGCTGACGATGAAGCTCGATGTTGCTAGGTATGTGGCCGAGTGTGTAACTTGTGCTAGGGTTAAGGCACAACATCAAGAACCGTATGGGAGTTTAGAACCTTTACCTGTACCCATGGGTAAATGGGAGGACGTCACCATAGATTTTGTGACTAAACTGCCCAGAACAAGGAACGGTCACGACATGATTTGGGTAGTCGTTGATCGCTTCACTAAGAGTGCGCATTTCATAGCAGCCATCGAGAAATGGTCTATGGATAAACTCGTGAATTCTTATGTGAAGGAAGGGTGAGGCTTCACGGTGTTTTGTTAACGATTGTATCCGATCGTGACAGCCGTTTTACCTCAATGTTTTGGAGGAGTCTATAAGAGGAAAAGCAGTTTATGGGCAGATGTTATAGCACGGTGTTTTGTTAACTAAGTTCAATGGCAGAGGACGAGTCCATTAGGTGCTATCTTGTTGTAGAGCTTGAGCCTCTGCTGGGCAGATGTTATAGCACCTAACACAGATTGACGATTCACTCTGCTCTTAATGTTTGAGGCAGTTCCAAATTCATCACCAAGCATCTTCGTTACTCGAGAAATTTGATCACATGGAGGTATAATCAAAGATATCATGCTGGTTCCGTTGCCTCTTGCAGCTTCCCGTGCCTTTATAAGCTTCTTAACCTTCCATATCTCAACGTTGTTATCAGAGTCATCCGCTGCCATTGAACTTAGTTTTCCTTCCTGCCAATAGCAGTGACAAATATAACAAATGGAGAAGATGACGCAATTACCAAAAAGAATGTGGGCTAAAAGGTACCTTCAATGATGATGATGAACACTTCAACTTCAATTATTGTTTAGAACACTTCAACTTCAAGGATGCTTAATATGTTAGGATGTTAGATGTCAACGTGACTCTTGCATGTATTGTATGATGGTATGCTTATCGGGCAAGGCCTGAAGACAGGCAGGGCTTTATGGATACATTGTATGCTAGTTATTAGTATCTGTTTTTATGCTTACCGGGCGAGGCCCGATGTCAGGCGGGGCTCGATGACTATATGGTATGCTATAGTTTTTGTTACTATTGCATGTTCAAGGAAGGTTATATGTTTATATGGTCATGAGAATGCTTTTATTCTGATTGTTTTTGAGATTAATGAATGAATGGTTTGACTTATTTAAAAAATAAAATTTTACTCAGTATTTTTGAGACGTTACACAAGCCCTTTAAATCAACGGACCGACCCTTATGCTTATGATCATTTAGTAGCAAGGGAACCTACATCATGATGCTTGCCATACGTTTGTGTTGGATTGATTGTGAGGTTGTTGAAATGAAATGAATGAGCGTTTCAATGTTATAATAATAGATTCGAGGAAGAAGCTATGTTGACTATGCCTGAGGAGATTAGAATTTAGATGATGGACAAGTTCTACAACCTAAAGGAGACTACAAAAAAAAAATGGGAGTCTGGCGTGTGTGTTGCATCTACTAAGAAGATGAAAGATTTGGTGAAGTTCTCAGGTATGTTCTCAATCAATATATTTTTTGAACGTGTCATTAAACTATTTTCTAATATATTTGTATTTGTAATTTTAATCGCCTGAAAACTATATACATCAGTAATCGGTCTCAACCTACCTTTTTGATGTAAAAATCTTTTTTCCTACATCACATAAACAACCAACCATTTTTGTTATCATTTATCAATAACCTAACACAACCACAAATACATCTTATATGAGAATTTAAAATATACACAAAAATATATAGTATTATACTTTATTTGTATAGAATTAAAAACCATGAATTTGATATATTTTTTATATTTTTAAGAAAACATATTATCCATAAATTAACATTATTAAAAATTCTAAATTTTAAAAATAAAAAGCAACAAATATTGTTGTGCCATGTGTCATAGTTGTGGTTTGGATCTTTCATACTTAGATTGCGATCAAATGGCATATTTTTTCCACTATACGGTATTAATGCAATGGTTGTAGCCTCTCCCAGTAAACCTGGTCTAACGTGTCTATTGACCAAAGGTAAATATTTGTAAATACTGTAAATGTATAATTATATTATACACAATGTGCCGATGACATTCGCCTAGTTAATGAATAAATTAAACATGCCATATAACTTTGTTATGTTAATGAATAAATTAAGCTTGCCATATATCTTTGTTATGAAGAGGCTTTTAGTACACAAAAGTCCCAAAGTATGTAGTCAAAACATTTCCATTTCTGAAGGATACACAATATTTCATAAGACTTTGGAATCAATCAGATTTCTTAAACTTTAAAATCAATAAGATGAGTATAATTAGGAGAAACATAATAAATGTTTAAAAAAAAAAAATACCAACATAAATAATCCTTTGGTAAATGATCAAATGAAATAAAACATGCTGAGAAGCTATGACAACTGATATCCAACTAACATAAAAAGGTAACATAAAGTCTAAAAGCACCAACGAAAATCTCAAGTTAACATGGAGTCTCAAAAAACTTAAATGCATATTAATCAATGTCAATGCACATAGATGTTCGTATTCCTTAGGATCTTTTTATCGGGGCAACACAAAAATACTCTCATGCAACGTCTTCAAGGAGGGAACCGGGGCACGATCTCTCTTACATCTAGCTTGTTCTAACTGCTTCAATGCGAAAAAAACATTAAAAAAAAAAAAAAAAAAAAAAAGAAAGAGGCATTACAACAATGTTTAACACCAAATACCATAAAAAGGCTTAAGTTGTATGTTTGATATGATGAAGGATTTATGCTGTAAAAAACAACCAATGCAACCATATGAATTATGCACTTTACTTTCACACCTACTAGAGTACCTCAACTTTTACTTTTCAGTTGTAGATTTTTCTGCCTTGCTATCAAATAGGTGAACTTGGTTCGTTCAGTTACCAAGGAGAATGATATGTAAATTAAGTTCCCAGAATGATCAAGATTATGTTGTCATACTACTCACATGAACTACTAATATCACCCCTAATCATTTCTAATATTTAAGAAATCCTTTTGAACATATAAAGATAAAGAAGTTACAAAAATGAGCCTTGGATTTACTCTTGCCTGATATCAATGTACTAAAAAAAAAAGTTATGTCCCTTTCTGCTGAGAGTAAAAACTTCACCTAATTAAAAAAGTGTTATGTATGAAGAATCGATATTAAAAGTATAATAAAAACTTGGCCAAGATCATAGTTATCAGATCATGTGTAGAAAAAAATGTGAAGAAACTTGGTTCCCTGCAAAGATATGATAAAGCAAGTAAAATTGTAATGAATCATGGAAATTCGTAATAACTAAAACAAAGACTAGTAGAGTTAATCAGTATAAAAGAGACAATTCATAGGAAAAAATAACTAACCTCGGTAACCATGGTTTCCTTGAACAGCTAGGCAATAATGATGCTTGAAACTCATGTGCCGTCACCTGACAAGTGGTTGATTTTGTATTAGGATTTCCCCCATCAACAACATTCACGTTTTTCTTTGACTGAAGACAGGTGGGCCCATCAACATATTTTGTGTTCTTAGCAGTTTCATCAACATCAACTTCCGTCCTACTTAAATTGCCTGCCAATAGCAACATTAGGAACAGTTAGTTATATACATATGTTTGTTTCCACCGGAATCCCAGGGATTTGATAAAATTATTAATACATAAGGTAAAAAGAAGTTAGGGAAAATGACTCACAATCGCAACGAAGTTTCCAAACCGTTCAAAAAACACCAATCTAAGTTTTTTCTGTTCAAGAAAGCCCAAAGAACTTAAACTTTTGTCTGAAAAAGCCCAACAAATTAAGTTTCTAAACCTTTCAAAAAACCCCAATCATGTTTTTTTGTTCAAAATGTTAAGTTCGTTGGATTTTTTTGAATAAACAAAGCATGATTGGGGTTTTTTTAACGGACTAGAAACTTCGTTGGTCTGACAAGTCATTTCCGGATATGATAATAAGTGGAACTTAGTTGGGCTTTTTTAGACAAAAGTTTAAGTTCATTCGATTTTTCTTGAACCGACAAAACATGATTGGGGTTTTTTGAATGGTCTGGAAACTTTGTTGTGCTCGTAGGTCATTTTCTCAAAAAGTTGTTAAGAAAATACATGCAACACCCCACTAGAATCGTTGTCATGATGCATGGTCACCTTCTTTTTGTAAATGAAATTCTCATCCATGGACATCAAAAAAGTTATAACAAAGGAAATAAAAGAATATGCAACATTAAGTTAAAATGTGTGTATCATATGCAACTTGAAACTTTTAACTTCAATTTTTTCCAATATACAATGCAATTTACAAATGGTAGTACAAGAAACATAAACCCTCATAAGTAAAATTACTCGCAACCAGAGAATTCAGAATTTTTTAGAAGATTGTTTCAGCGGATATAAAGAAAAAATAAGAACCAATGCCAATGCAAAGTACTTGTTTTGCAATTTTCTACAATTAGATGCAGCATTGTACTCAAGTTATGGATACCCAACATACATTCAGGAAGTTGGATATGTCTAAAGAAGGGGACATTGTAGTCAAGGTTAGTAAATGTTCTCTAGTTCGGTTTTGTAGAGGTAAGAGGTAAAATGATGAAGTGTTGTGTGATGAATTATGCACTGAGCTTTGTATAATCTATAATGCTAATGAAGTAGTAATCATTATCATAGATGCATACAAAAAAATAACTGACCTTTGTAAGAATTCCTTGAAGGAGGAAATATGCAAGGCGCTTGGATAGAAGCTTGAGAAGTGGTTGATTGCTATTCAGCATCATAATTCACCCCTTCACCATGGTTTTCAGTTTCATAACTTTCCTCATCATCAGAAATTTCAATATCATTATTTTCTCCATCGTAATCAGACAACTCATCAAATGGGTGAATATCAATCTGGTAACGAAGAATACCACCAATCCCACCAAGGCCTTTACAAAAGTTAAATCCCTCATGAGTTCTATTTGTGACGAACTCAAGCTTGCATCCAAATCTTTTGTACTCATTAGCAAACCACTCAAGAAGAGACATCTTTTCCTCAACTTCAAGTTCAACATTGCTGACCAAATCCCGAAAATTACTTTCATCAGTCTCCTGTTCCTTGTTTAAATGCTTAACAATAATTTCACCCGAAACACCGTTTTTAAGAACATATCGATTAATCTCCAGATTTTCACAAACAATGAGTGTCTCCACAGCACCCATGTCTAAAGCTTCCAAAGTGTCATAAGCACCCATGACATACTTCCCTCCATCCTGTTTGATCTCCTCAAAATACTTCCCGATTAAATGCTTCTCCTGTATGAACTTGACATTTGCAAGAATATCATAAGACAACTTAATAGACTGATTGAACCCATCTTCACCTCCATAAGAGACATCAACCACATTCAAGATTTTGGCCTGAAGACGCGGGTCAAACATATCAGATTGACCGAGGTCATTCTTGAAATCAGCGCATCCAGCAAGTATAAGTCCAGAAACATTAGGCTGATTAGTAGCAGGATTGATATAAAACTTTGTTGCAAGCTCTGCTGTTTTCCTTAAATAGTTGTGACGTTTCTCCATACGAATACGATCAAATCTCAAAGCTGATTGCCCTCCTCTTCCATGTTTCTTTGGCAAATCAACAGGAAATTTGTGTAGAACCTCCCTACTATCGCCCCTTACTATCCCAAACAGAGTGCCTTTTCAATCCATAACAATGAAACCAAACGTGTCATCAGATTCCAACATTTCGTTAAGAGCTTCTGTGTGGAACTTGTTATCACAAAGGTAAAGAGATACGTTTATTGGTCTGAAAGGTTCAAAGTCGAATGTAACCTTTTTCTCTTTTCCATCATTTGTTAGTATTGTTCCTGTGTATAGAACAAGTCCATTTGGAGGTACCTTGTTGTAGAGCTTGAGCCTCTGTTGGGCAGATGTTATAGCACCTAAAACAGACTGACGATTCACCCTGCTCTTAATGTTGGAAGCAGTTCCAAATTCATCAGCAAGCATCTTGGTGACTCGTGAAATTTGATCACGTGGAGGGATTATCAGAGAAATCATGCTGCTTCCGTTGCCTCTAGCATCTTCAAGTGCCTTTATAAGCTTCTTCATCTTCCATATCTCGATATTCTCATCAGTTGACATGGTGCTTATATTGCCTGACAATAATTAACAGCGTGAAAAAGATTCTGTTAGAAGCTTAGTTACGATTACCACCTTCTTTTTTGAATGAAGTTCTCCACTTCTCCTCTATCGATATCTGGATATCAAGAAAAGATTAAAAAAACGAAAAAAGAAAGCCAAAGAATTAAGGCGTATGCAACGTCAAAGAAAAAATAATGTATGCAACTTAATTGAAACTTTTAATCTCTCCGATATCAATGAAAACTACAGTTGTTAATATAAAAAAACATACAGCCTTATTAAAAAATGCAGTGATCGAGAGTGGTGATCACTAAACATGTTAACCGCATTGGATTAAGCATGTCTTGCTTACAAGATCGGAAAAGTCAAATTCGTAAGATGATACATTACTAATGGAATTTCATTGTCAAAAAGAACGTGGAAAGAATGGAATACATACCTTCGAAGTACTTCAACGATGATTAACACTTCAATGCTGATAAGTTAGTAATATGGAAATCGATTCAACGAATGAACTTTACAGAAAGCAGTTATTAATCTTTTTTTGAAAGATGATATTGTTGGGTTCTTTTTGAAATATAATGTTGTTGTTATCTCAAGAGACTTTGATGCTGATCGACGAAGCTTTAGAAATCGATAATTTTTTGAAAGATGATATTGTTTGGATACGATTGTTGTGATAAAGATAATTTGGATAGATTCTACTATATCCTAATGCCGATTTTATAGGGATTTCGATAGATGTTGGAGATACAATTGCGATTTCTATCGATTTAATTTTTATTTAAACTATGATATTTTAGGAGTTTTCTACTTAGACATGGTATGTTTTAAAAATATTTACCATAATATAGTGGTCTAAAAATTAGTTACCAAATCTGGATAGATCTTTTTTAAAGGAAACCTTCCGTATTTTGAGTAATTATCCTAGAGTCAATTATATATATATATATATATATATATATATATATATATATATATATATATATATATTTTGTACACAACAGTTTTTTGTCATACACAACAATTCATGCATTATATAGTTGTACAATACAACATTTTAAAGCACCAATTGTTGTGTATGAAGAAAAATTGTTGTGTACAGATCAGCTCCCTATCTTTTAACGTTTTCTATTGTAATTAGGTTAGGATTCTTTTGTTTCCTTGTTGGGTAAGTTATTTGAGCAGTAAATATTTTATGGTATCAAAGCAAATTTTTTATGGTATAAAGCAAGTCTTGCACCTACGATACAAACTTCCAGCAATGGCAGCAAGATACAAGCCAGAGTCGGCAGGAAAAAAACTTTCTATTTGCCCTTGACAGATGCAGGTGAACGATGCGTTCACAGTGACAATAACTAGAGCGACTGGGCAGTGGAGATGCGAAACTTTCTATTTGCCAAAAATTAAATTGGGTTCATCAATGGAACCCTTGAAAAACCCAGAGAGGAATCGGAAGAATACATTCTTTGGATGCGATGATCAAAGGGTGGTTAGCCATAACCATAGCGAACAAAATCATATCTAGTTTGAAGTATGCGCATGCAACAAACGAAATTTGGAACGACCATGAAGAGAGGTTCGATAAACAAAGCGCCTCTAGGGCATACAAATTAAAACAGTCTCTCATAATCACACGTCAAGACGACATCTTTATATCCACATATTACACTAAGCTACGAGGTCTCTGAGATGAAATCCAAACCTTGTCTCCGACTCCACGGTGTACCTGCCCGGTTGCATATGTGAGTTAGGAAAGTGACTCATCAAATCTAAAGAGAAAGAAATGGTTTATTAATATCTTATGGGGCTTGTCAAAGAATATGTTACAATTAAAACTCAAATCCTCTACAAGGCAACACCAACCATAGGAGCTGTAACATCCCGACTCCCAGGTATGAGATTTATGGCTTAAAAGACAAATTCTCCTTTGGAACTCGTCGAGTTGATGGCCTCAGAATCAACGTGTTGGAAGCTCTCCACTCGACGAGTTGTTGAGGAAAACTTGACGAGTTGGCGGCTGTTTATGAATCCCTAATTTTTAGAGTGTTGCACCCTATTTAAGGACCTTATACTCTTTGGGGTGGCCTCCTTATCCGCCCCTCTGTCCAGAAAACCCTATCTTGTGCATTCTCTCTCAATTTTGAGTGTTTGTGAGCTTAAAGACTATCTTTTTAGTGTTTACTTGAAGAAGTTTGAAGTTGGTGGTGCATAGCTGAAGGGAGAAGCTTTAGATCCAGAACTTTCCCTGTTGTTGTCGTATTGAGGTATAAAGTCGATACCTTGATCATTCATTTGCTAGATCTCTTCATTTGAGAGTTTATTGTCATTATTAGCTTATTTTGGGACCATTCTTTGATTAGAGCATCATGAGCTATAACTTCATATATAGACATCTCATAGCCTCTTTGGACTTAAAGTTGCCATCTTTATCAAGTCTTGGCCCTCCTTCAGGCTCTAAGTCCCTTAATACTCTTTGTTTAAGTGTTTTAGCCTTTTTGATGCCATGCATGGACGTAAAGTTAGCAACTTTACGTGGTATTTCGGCCCTAGGGGACCATATTTATGGTTTGAGGCATTAGATTCGCTTGGGAAATGGCTGAATGACTTAAGAATAGGAAAACTAGATGAGTTGCCTCGCCAACTCGGCGAGTTGGCTTGGATTTTCCTGCTTTTTGGATGTTGTAGGAACTCGATGAATTGTTCTGCTAACTTTGCGAGTTGCCTCGGGTCTTCCCCGTTTCTCTGAGCACTAAAGGAACTCGGCGAGTTGATAGATGCACTCGACGATTTGGGTCAACATGGATTGTTGACCTTGGTTGGTGACTTTGACTTTGACCATGGTTAACCAAGTTTGAACTTGAGGATATTTCGGGTATTTCGGGGTTTTAAAGGAGTTAGTCACATGGTGGTTGTAGGCAATTGAGTTTGGAGCTGTGATTTGAGATTTGGATCTTGTTAGTCAGTGATGCTTGTGAGGTGAGTTTTCCTCACTATACTTAGGGGTCGACGGCACCAAGGTCAGCCAATTGGATTGATATCCTAGTAGTTATTGATATGCTGAGTATGAATTTGATATGCATGCTAGTTTGATATGCTAGTCTAGTAGATATGTAGGACTACCTGTGATACTGTCTGATTATATGTATGTGTATTTATTTGTTACATGTCGACATGTTGGGTGTGTTGGGTTGAGGTTGTATTGCTCCGTGTTGTTCCCAACAAACCCTGGAGTATGCCAGATATGAGCTGAGGGCCAGGTAGGGCATGCCAGACTCATACTGAGGACTCATAAGCATTCTAGATACGAGTTGAGGGCCAGACAGGGCGTGCCAGACTCGTACTAAGGGCTAATCATTTGTATTCCTATCTGAAGACTCAGGGAGCAAGCCAGACATAGTTGTGGGCCTGAGGGCAAGCCAGACTTATGTTGTGGGCTCGAGAGCAAGCCATATATGAGTTGTGAGCCTTATAGGCAAGCCAAACTCATACTGTAGGCTCAAGGGTAATCCAGTCGTAAAAGTTATGGACCCATTGCATGCTGTCATTATGTGTATTATTTGTTATGTATCGGTATTTTGGGGGATATTCACTAAGCTTTGGGCTTAGAGTTGTGGATTTTGTTTTAGGTACTTCGGATGATCAAGGAAAAGAGAAGGCTTGATCGTGCACCTCCTCACATTTTTGTTATGATTTCTGGGACTCGTCTAATGTTAAACTATTTTGAAAGCAATTTGTAATAAATGGTGGTTTCTGGATATTTGAAAAGTTCAAATTTTTTATGAAATTTACGGATGTTACAGGAGCGGCTTATCATCTCTTGGCAGAGGACGAGTAGCAAAGGGCAATATCCGCCATGAATAAACCATCGTTTGATACAGCCGCATCCAAACACGAACCAAGAAAGAAAGAATTTTGTGCCAAATGATTCAAAACGAAGTGACGATGAAGAAATGGAAGTATGTACCTTTTGTGAAAAGAATGGCAATGACATAGACAGATGATTTAAATGAATTGGGTACTCAGATTGGTGGCCTAGCAAAAGGAACACAGAAAAGAACAAGCAAAGGCAACTCATGTTGAGACAATGTTCGGTTGGTGCAAGGTAGTGGATCAAATAAGAGCTTGTGGATCCTGATTCTCTACTCCATTTCTAGCTTGTTTGAGGCAAAATGTCATGATCTTGTTGATTATAAGCTTAGATCTAGTTATATGAGTTTTGAGCCCTTTTTGTCCCCATGAATGAGATCTAGTGGTTTAACACCACTCCAGGAACTATGAGTTGCCACTCTTGGTGTTTCGGAGGTTCAAAGTTCGTAAAGTTGGCACCTTTACGATTTAGAATCTCCTATGCATGAGATTATGTCCATTTGTGTAAGTAAAGTGCTATATATTGAAATTGGGTCCTTTTGGGGCATGGAAAGTCACCAAGTCAGTGACTTTATGGTTCTAAACGCATAATAGGGATTAGATTAGTGGTTTGGAATTCTGGTCTTAAGCATTAAGTGCTTAAAATGGAATTTTGGATTAATGGATGAGTACGTTTGCACGACATAGAATCCCTTAAGCGAGTAGGCTTAGCTTACAACTGAGTACGCCCCTATACTCAGTCTGTTGGGATTGGCGATTTGAGCTTCGAGTTTGGGCCATTTTATTGGGCCTAGATGCTTGGGCCTTTATTGGGCCATCTAAGTGCAAGTGTTTGGATTGGGTGAATGGATGGGATTTAGGATAAGTCCTATGTAAGGGTGTGGGCCCAATTTGGAAAATTGGACCAATTATGGGCCTTGAACGGCTAGATGGATCTAGGCCTTTTGTATTATAGGGTTGGACCTGATTCTTATTCCAAACTAGGTCAGGGGTAAAATGTTCTTTTTACCCTAATTATGGAATGATATCTATGATGGGTTTCGAGCATTCTAACACTTCCTAAGTGTACATGCAACCCTAATAACCTTGGATCTATGTTTGTCTAATTATCATGCAAAGTTGAATTCCAAGGTTATATTCCTATCTAGCATACATGGGGAACAATTTTTAACTTGAATGAAAGATAGAATAACTTACCTTGTTGTTGCTTATGTTCCTTGAAACCTTGTGAGCCTAGCACCCCAAGTGTGATGCCTTAAATGCTTCACACAACACCAAATGCTCTTGGAAAGACTTTTGAGAGAATACACACTTCTTGAAATCGGCCTAGCCCTCTTGTTTCTTATGTGTAGCCGATTTTGGTGGAGAATGAGATTCCTATATAGTGTTGACACATCTAGGGTTACACCATGTAAACCCTAATGTGTCATGACTCTTCATTTCCATGACCCATGGGTTTGTAACTCCCATGGAGCATCCATGGAGCATCCTATGGGTGGAACCCAACTTGATAATCCATGGAGCCTCTTAGCCCACTATACAAGATATGGATGATTTACATAATCAACCCATATATTTAACAAGTTATCTTTTGATCACTTAATTAATTCTAAATTAATTCTTGATCAAACTAATCAAATAATAGTATTAATATATTAGAACTTATAATATATTAATAATCTCCAAGTGTTATTTCTCTCATTTAGTCTATCCAATTGTATGGTGCCATGCAGCCCAAATAGACCATGCCGGGTCGGGTCAAGTACTAACCCGAAATAGTTATGGACTTAGACACCTTATCCAATAGTCTCCCACTTGGATAAGTCTAATAACTATAACTCCAGTACTTCAGGAACCGACTGGCAATCGTAGCTCTTTCAAGGTCTCTCGGAACTGAGAAGATGATGGTACGCCATTTAAGATAAGGGATCATATAATCCTCTGTTCTAGATATCATCCGGACAAATACATGGAACAATGTCTTACTTATTGTCCAGCAGTTTGTTTCCCGATTTTCGATTTGTTTGACAAAGAACTTAATTGAACACATCAACTTAGTTCTGACCGGGCCCGGTACATAGGTCAAAACAAAATCATCGAGGGGCCCAGATATCAGCTTCTAATCCAAGAAGGAACAGATAAACTTCGACTCATATGTTTGTTCTACCACTCATTGAATTATACACAAAAGCACGTTTTATAACATCGAGTTACCAATGCGTTTTCGTACAATCAATGCATAACCAACTTGTAAGTAACAAATCATATCTCTAGGTTTGAAGACTTATATGATATTACCGTCTCACGATCACTCGAGATAGAATTCCATGAAGTGATTCCAGTGAGCGTGGGTTGAGTCCAATGCTCAGTACTTATGAGCACTCATGATTGTTGTAGCCTTTTCCAACACCTTAGACCTATGTAACCAATCATGACAGTCTTGATTCATATCTACTTCCGACATATGACCGACTGTGGAGGTTTGAATAATATGTTATACCAAACAACATTATTCTGGAAGTCAAAACATGCAAAAGAAATAAAGTAAACGATTGACAAGAGATAACAACACTTTACTCATAAATAAAACACCTTTTATTCATCATCTAATGTCAATTACACTTTACAAATTTCGAGGTTATCTAACTACTAATCTAATATCATCCTTCAGCCCTATGCTCCGAGCATGCTGGAGATGCTTAACCCGAGTCAGTCCCTTCATGAGGGGATCTGTTGGGTTCTCATCCGATGATATCCTCTTTGCCACGAGGAGTC